GGGACATGGTTTGAATCCATATGATGCTAAAGCTGTTCACAGCAATGTGCCCATGAAGCTATGACCAACTGTTGTAAAAACGCATCTGGTTCACTGACGACTTCTGGGAAGGGAACATGCCATCCTTACCCAATCTGACCTACTGGTGACTCCAGACCCACAGTAATGTGTTTGACTCTCAACTGCCCTCAAATGGCACTACAAGCCATTCAGTTCGAGGGCAATTAGGGCAACAAATGCTGGTCTTGCCAGTGATGCCCCAATCCCAGTAAAGAGTTCTGAAAAAAACTGTTTTTGTGAACGCTCATCAATCTGTCAAGTCTCAGCCTTGAATATGCTCAATGGCTGATCTTGCACAGCTGTCCTGGGCTGAGAATTCCAAAGATCCATAGCTGTCTGAGGGAGGAAATCTCTTCTCATTCCTTCGTTGTTGTGATCATAGAAATATAGAAGATAGCAGCAGGAGGAGGCCATTCGGCCCTTCGAGCCTGCTCTGCCATTCTTCACGATCATGGCTGATCATCCAACTCAATAGCCTAATCCTGCTTTCTCCCCATAATTTTTTGTTCCATTCTCCCTAAGTGCTATATCTAGTTGCCTTTTGAATACATTCAATGTTTTGGCATCAACTACTTCCTGTGGTAATGAATACCACAGGCTCACCACTCTTTGGGTGAAGAAATGTCTCCTCATCTCTGTCCTAAAACGTGTACCCCGAATCCTCATACTGTGACCCCTGGTTTTGGACACACCCACCATCAGGAACATCCTCCCTGCGCCTACCCCATCTAGTCCCATTAGAATTTTATAAGAGACAGGGATCTTGTAATTTAGACTCCTCAGCCACGGCACACTGCACTCTGCACTGTGAAACCCATTAAGAGTATTACACCTTTCAAATGAGATTACTAACTCAAACCAGGAGCACAGTGGCTCAGTAGTTAGCACTGCTGCCTCACAGCGCCACAGACATGGGTTCGATTCCAACCTTGTGGAGTGTGGAGTTTGCATCCTGACCCCATGTTCTGTGTGGGTTTCCTTCGAGTACCCCAACGTCCTCCCAAAGATGCTCAGGTTAGGGTGGATTTGCCATGTTAAATTGCCCCATAGTGTCCAGGGATGTACAGGTTAGGTGGATTAGCTGCGGGAAATGCTGGATTATGGGAATAGTGCGAAATGTCCTTCAGAGGGTCAGTGCTGACTCAATGGGCTGAATGGCCTCTATTTGCACTGTAGGGATTCTATGACTAGGCTGCAGATCATGTCTGCAGTGACCTGGATCAGAACATCATTGTTAATAATTGCCCTGCTACAGTGACACCTTGAAGGATTCGTTCGCAATGGGTAGTGTGTTGTGCACTCTATGATGCCTGTACAGTGAGCTGCACAGATGGCTGGAGTATAAGAAGCAGCAATTTTACGCACCTCTGTGTTCAATTGATAGGAATCCAGGAGGTTGACTAACGCTGACACAGGTACAACATGCCACACTGGTTTTCAGAATCTTTTGGTCCAACAAGAGCTTCTGTTTCGTTACTCCCAAAGTTGCAGAGGTTGTGAAATTCTACCCAACTATCTTCAGCTGTTTCATCCATGACCTTCCCTCCATCATAACATCACTGATTTTTGCCGATAATTATACAATGTTCAGCATTATTTGTCATTCCACAGCTACTAAAGTAGCCCGTGTCCAAATGCAGCAAGACCTAGGACAAAATCCAGGTTTAGGCTGACAATTCTAAGTTAAATTTGCATCATAAAAGTGCCAGGCCATGACCATCTCCAACCAGAGACAATCTAACCATTGCCCCTTGATGGCATTACCATCACTAAATTCCCACACCCCCCTCCACCCACTATCAATATCCTGGGGGTTACCAATGACCATAAAGTCAACTGAACTAGCCATGTAAATACTTTAGCTACAAGAAGAGGGGCAGTATGGTTGCCCAGAGGTTAGCACTGCTGCCTCATAGCGCCCAGCGACCTGGATTCGATTCTAGCCTTGGGTGACTGTCTGTGTGGAGTTTGCACATTCTCCCCGTGTCTGCATGGGTTTCTTACAGGTGCTCCAACAATCCAAAGATGTGCAGGTTAGGGTGGATTGGCCATGCTAAGTTGCCCCTAGTTTCCAGGAATAGTAGGGACTGCCGATGCTGAAGAATCTGAGACAACAAGGTGTAGAGCTGGATGAACACAGCAGGCCAAGCAAGATCAGAGGAGCAGGAAAGCTGACGTTTCAGATCTAGACCCTTCTTCAGGAATCTAGTTCTACACCTTGTTGTCCTAGTTTCCAGGGATGTGCAGGTTAGGTGGATTAGCCATGGAAAATGCAGGGTTAGAGGGTTGGCATGGGTCTGAGTGGCATGATCTTTGGGGGGTCAGTGTGGACTCAAATGGGCCGAATGGCTTGCTTCCACACTGTAGGGAACTTTAGGGTTGGGCAATCTGTTATATTTTTTGTGAATAATGCTTCCTCAAGAAACTTCACTGGAAGATAAATGATCTGATGATGTTTGAGGGATCTGTGTGTGCACAGATTGTGAGAAGAAATGAAGACTGATGTCAACATCCATCTGTTTATCTTCACAAGTGATGATGCGATGAGAATGAAGGGTGAAGATAAAACAAAAGCTGATAATAGAAATGGCGGGAGAAGGAAAGAACGAAATTGGAGAACTACCAAGAAAATCACTTATAAACCTTGAATGATGTGCTTGCTTTAAAACCTCCAAGTTAATTGGCACATTTCCATTAGTGTAGCTCTGCCCTACAACTCTCAATAGAACATGCTGTGAATGATGTGGTCTTATTTTGGGGAGGCAATAGCCTTGTGGTATTATTGCTAGACTATCCAGAGACCCAGGTAATGCTCTGGGGACCCAGGTTCAAATCCTGCCATGGCAGATGTTGGAATTTGACATTGAAAACAGACCCTCTGGTCCAATTAGTCCATCATGATCTTGTTCCCAAACTAAACAAGTCCCACCTGCCTGCAATTGGCCCATATCCCTCCAAACCTTTCCTATTCATGAACTTATCCAAATGTCTTTTAAACGTCGTAACTGTACCTGCATCCACAATTTCCTCTGGCAGATCATTCCCACACATGAAACACACTGTGTGAAACGTTTCCCCTCATGTCCTTTTTAAATCTTTCTCCTCTCACCTTAAAAATATGTCCCCTACTTTTGAACTCACCCAACCCACGGTAAAGATCCTTGCTATTCACCTTATCTATGCCCCTCATGATTTTATAAACCTCTATAAGGTCACAACTCAACCTCCTGTGCTCCAGTGAAAAAAATCTTGATCTTTCCAGTCTATTTTTATATCTCAAATCCTCCATTCCTGGCAACATCCTGGAGAATATTTTCCGAATCTTCTCTAGTTTAATAACATATGAGGAACGTTTGAGGACTCTGGGACTATTCTCATTGGAGTTTAGAAGGATGAGGGGGGATCTAATTGAAACTTTCAGAATACTGAATGGCCTGGACGAAGTGGATGTTGGGAAGATGCTTCCATTGGTAGGAGAGTCCAGGACCCAAGGGCACAGCCTTAGAGTAAAGGGAAGACCTTTTAGAACGGAGATAAGGAAAAACTTCTTCAGCCAGAGAGTGGTGAATCTATGGTATTCACTGCCACAGAAGGCTGTGGAGGCCAGGTCATTGAGTACATTAAAGACTGAGATAGATAGGTTCTTGATTATCAAGGGGATCAAGGGTTACGGGGAGAAAGTGGGAGAATGGGGTTGAGGAACTTATCAGCCATGATTGAATGGCGGAGCAGACTCGATGGGCCGAATGGCCTAATTTCTGCTCCTATGTCTTATGGTCTTAATATCCTTCCTACAACAGGGCGACTAGAACTGCACACAGTTTTCCAGAAGAGGCTTCACCAACCTCCAGTACAGCCTCAACCGGAATTAGGAGTCTAATGATGACCATTAAACTGTCATTGATTGTTGGAAAAAACTCATCAGGTTCATTAATGTCCTTTAGGGAAGGAAACTCTGATCTGGCCTACATGTGACTCCATACACACAGCACTGTTAACCTTAACAGCCCACTGGGCAATAAATGCTGGCCTAGCCAGTGATATCAGACCCTGCGAATTAATATTTTGGAAGAGCAGCACCATGGCATGGAGAGACTGATGGGAGTTTGGTTAGCTTGGATACTTGGTTTGCAATGCAGAGTGATGCCAATGGCATGGGGTCAATTCCCACACAACCTGAGGTTACCACAAAGATCCCAAATTTTCAGCCTCACCGGAGATGCTAAACTCACCATCAGTCACCTCTTTTCAAATGAGACAGCAGCCCTCTGGGAGTACAGCAATTTTAGAGACATAGAGGTATTTAGCACAGAAACAGGCCCTTCAGCCCAACTTGTCCATGCTGACCAGGTTTCTTAAACCAAACTACTACCATTTGCCTGTGTTTGGCCCATATCCCTCTATCCATGTACCTGTCCAAGTGTCTTTTAAATGTTGTAATTATACCGGTCTCTAACACTTCATATCCACGGAATCCATGATTCTATACACGCATGACCCTCTGAGTGAAAAAGTTACCCCTCAGGTCCCTTTTAAATCTTTCCCCTCTCACCTTAAACATTTGCTTTAGCTTATGTTTAGTCACAAGAATCAAAGGATTTGAGAGTTATCTTTAAAAAAAACCTTCTGCAATGTTACATTGATCAACCTCCCACTGTTGAAGTGTATCTCCTTTCCTTTGTTTCAGAATGTGACCTTGGGGTGTGGGTGAGATCAGCTTTTCCCAACAAAGGTGGCAGTGACTCCTGGTTTCTAAGCTACCGAGACGCTGTCAATGAGAGAGAGAGACAGTAAGGAATTCCCTTGTACACGAGGAGAGAAGAACAGCCAGTCCCAGCTCACTCTCACTTTGGAAGGAGTGACAAGCAGCCTAGACCCCTCCTTTGGTCGTTAATAAGGGAGTGAGGAATAAAATCGTGCAGCAATTTTAAAAGCGAGCCCAGTTCCTGGGATCTGCTTTAATTGATTGAAATCTGATTTAATGCTGAGCTGGTGCATTGCTCCCTGTGTTAGCACCGGCTGTAGAATCGCATTTCTTTTCCTCTTGTTTTTCTTTTGAGTATTTGCTTGTTCTGTCTATCTCAGCATCGCTGGGAGACGCTTGTTGAAGCAATTCGGTGGTGAGTTTCCAGATTTTATTTTTGGCCGCTGATATTTCCGTGCATTGATTATTATCATGGGTTTCGAATCCATTCAGCTGCTCCCTTTAATAATCTGGCGGTGTGGTATTAATTATTCCTCTAGTCATTTCTGAAAGCGGATAAAGCCACGGACGACAGGTTCAGTGTTTAATGTCAATGCAGGCGACGATTTTCTAATGCTGGTAGGAAATGTGTTAAATACTGTGCGGAGCCATCATCTCCAAATGTAACAATAAGCATTGCATTAAGATCCATACTGCTGTTTGGTTCATTTTGAAGCATTTATTTCCGCCCCCCCCCCCCATCAGGCTTTCCCGCTGTCGAGTCTTGTTCCTCCGTTTGTCTTCGGTCAGTGGGGGTTAGTCAGAGGTTATGGTTACAAATCCCACTCCCTAGTGACTGGAGCCCATAGTCCCGGGTGAACACCGCTCTTGCAGGGCTGGAGGGAATGCTGAACTGTTCCAAGGTTCCAGTCTGACCACTTGCAAGTGGTCACTACACCCCTAGTCCCTTATTTTAAAAGAAACCAAGTGGGGAGTTCTGCCTTTTGTTTTTGGCTATCTCTACATTTTGTATAGTGCTAACACTTATCGATGTAACTGGATATCTTGCATGTAGTGTTGGTTGAGGAGGCATAAGAGCCAGGACATGAGGGATATTTGTAAAGATGGCTATGAGAGCTCAGTTTAATACTTTCTGACAAACCGCATTTGTAACTGTGTGGTGCTCCCTCAGTACCCCACTGGAGTGGGACTGCACTAGTAGTTTTAAAAACTGAAAGAATTGCGGATGCTGTAAATCAGGAACAAAAACAGAAGTAGCTGGAAAAGCTCAGCAGGTCTAGCAGCATCTGTGAAGGAAAAAAAATCAGAAGGGTCACTGGACCTGGTGTATTAACTCTAATATTTTGTTCAGCAACTTCTGTTTTTGTTCCTGCAGGGGTAGCTTCCCTGCTTCTGGGCTAATAGTTCCTCAGTTCAAGTCTCACTTGTTCCAGAGGTGTCTGAGTAGGTTGATTTAGAAAGATGTGGAGTGTCAGCTTTGAGTCTCTATTTGCCGATGCCCGGAGATGGGATCGAACCTTGGGGCAAGTGTGTGACTAACTGAGCCCCAGTGGAGTGTTTCTGATGTCCTAGTCAATATTTAAGTCATCTGAAATTAATAAGACATTATCTGATTGCTTGCTGCATTACTGTGTGTGGGAGCCAGGCAGTTGCTAGGGTTGCAGAGTTTGAGCTATAGGGAGAGGCGGAATAGGCTGGGGCTATTTTCCCTGGAGCATCGTAGGTGAGGCATAACCATATAGAAGTTTATAAAATCAGGAGGGGCATAGATAGGGTAAGTAGACAAAGTCTTTCCCCAAGGTGGGGGAGCCCAAAACTAAAGCACATACCTTTTAAGGTGAAAGGGGGAGGTTTAGAAAGGACCTGAGGTATAACTTTTTTTTTCACCAAAGAGGGTAGTGCATCTATGTAACAAGCTGCCAGAGGAAGTGGTGGAGGCTGGTACAATTACATTTAATAGGCATTTTGGTGGATATATGAATAGGAAGAATTTAGGAGGTTATGGGCCAAATGCTGGCAACTGGGACTAGATTAATTTAGGATATCTGGTCGGCATGGATGAGTGGGACCAAAGGATCTGTTTCCATGGTGTACAGGTCTATGACTGTATGACGTGCAAACTGGCTGCTCTGTTATTGATATGATAACAGTGCATAGCTACATGTGAAACCTAGTCAGTGTTTTAAAATGTCCCCAGGGCATTAGTCTTAGCCTCTAGTTTACTAGTCCAATAACCACTTTTAAAGTAAAAGTAGTTTTGGGTGAATAGCAATTTTTTTGTAGTTTAATTTCAAGAATATAAACATTCAAAGAGATAAGGAAATAACTTCTTTCATCTCCATTGGGCTGTAAAGATGAGTTTGTTTTCCTTCTGTGATGAGAGGGATGGGGATGAGATATTGTTAACTTGTTCTCACCAGAAATTGTCACACAAACACACTCCACTCAAGTCTATCTCATTACCAGACAAACACAAACCCACAATTAGTGACTTAATCCAGCCCTTCAAAACAGCTGAATTGCTAAGTAGTTTGCTGTGATGGTGCTTCAATTAGTGTTGTGTGTGCAGTGAAGTAACTGTTAATTGGGATCAATGTGTCTCTTTCATTACCTGCAGAATTGATTTGGTGTCAGTCTGCAAGCTTCCAAATGCAACTTATGGGGGTGTTGTGGTGCAGTGATGATGTCCCCACCTCTGAACTAGGAGGCCTAGGTTCAGGTCCCACCTGCTCCTGGGATGTCTGACAGGTTGGTTAGAAAAAAAACTTTTTACTCTCTGCCTCTCTGCTCCTATGATGCTGCTTGGCCTGCTGTGTTCATCCAGCCCTGCACCATCTTTTTACTATTAACCATCAGTTCCTCTATTCTCAATGAATAACCTAGATAAGTGTACCAATCTGTTACTGATGGTTGGTACGCTTAATATATCGCTGCTTGTCTCTGATTAGATAACAAAACCGTTTAAGATCATCTCCCAATCTAAATGTTATTTATCGTATTCCTTTGGCTCTTCTGCCTTCCCTCATTTCTGCAATCTTGCATTATGAAAATCTGAGCTTGGCATCTTTAAAATATCTTGTTTTCCCCACCTTCCCCTACCCTTCTCCTTTTTCCAGCCTTGGTGCTATCAACACAAAAATAGTTGGACTGTTATCAGTAAGGAAATTGATCTACAACACTCAAAGCAATACTTTCTCTGCATTTGTGATACCTTTTCCGTGTTTGTGGAACCTAGGAATTGAAGTGACATGTCAACAGTAGCCATGGCTCAGTGGATAGCCCTGCTGCCTTTCATGTCAGGAGGTTATACGTTTAAGTCCACACACAGGGACAATAATAGGATAGTGGTGATGTTACTGGGCTATTAGTCTAGACCAAAGCTTAAAGTCTCGCAGTAGCTGGTAAAATATTTGAAGGTTTACCTGGAATTTGTTAATAGAATTGCTTTCTAGAATCCCTACCTTGAGGAAGCAGGCCATTTGGCCCATTGAATTCACACCAGCCCTCTGTTTAGAGCATCCCATCCAGATTCCCCTAAATCCTGCATTTCCCATGGCTAATCCATCTAACCCGTGCATCCCCAGGCACTCTGTGTAATTTATCATGGCCAATCCACCTAATCTCCACATCTTTGGACTGTGGGTGGAAACCAGAGCACCCAGAGGTGAATGTCTGTGTGGAGTTTGCACAGCCACCTAAGGGTGGAATCAAACCCAGGTCGCTGGTGCTGTGAGGAAGGAGTGCTAACCACTGAACCACCATGCCAACCTGGAAAGATTGGTCAAGCTGGGCTGTATCTGCTGGAGTTTAAAAGAATAAAAGGCAACTTTATTGAAACATAAGATCCTGTGGATCTTGATAGGGTGGATGTGGAGAAGATGTTTTCTTTTGTGGGAAAGTCAGGGATTGAGTTAGTTAAAAGAAAACAAAAGGATTCCTCATTTTAAAATGGATGAAATGTTCCCTTGAGTGTCTAACCCACTTCCCTGAGGGTGTGGAAGCAGAGTATTTTTAAGGCAGAGATAGATGGATTGATGAGCAAAGAGGTGAAAGGTTATTAGGGTCATGTGTCGATGTGGAGTAATCTGAGCAGCTGAGACTTTAGTGAACCGCAGAGCAGGCTTGAGTCAGGTGTTGCATCTTTTTGGAAAGGCAAATCAGGGCAGGACTTTAGTGGTTAATGGTAGGGCCCTGAGGAATGTTCCCGAGCAAGGAGACCTAGGGATGCACGTGTGTAGTTCCTTGAAAAATGGAGTTGCAGGTACAGGGTGGTGAAGGTGTTTGGCATGCTTGCCTTCATTGGTTAGAACACTGAGTTTGGAGTTGGGAGGTCACATTGCAGCTGTACAAGGCATTGGTTAGGTTGCTTTTGGAATACTGTGCAATTCTGGTCTCCCTGCTACAAGAAAGATGTTGTGAAACTTGAAAGGGTTCAGAAAAGACTTACAAGCATGCTGCCAGGGGTGGAGGATTTGAGCTATAGGGAGAGGCTGAATAGGCTGGGGCTATTTTCCCGGGAGCATCGGAGGTTGCAAAAGAGATTAACAAGGATGTTGCCAGGTTTGTTATAGGGAGAGGCTGAATACACTGGGACTTTTGTTTTACCCCGAAGCGACTGAGGGGATAGCCGTATCAAGGCTTAGAAAAGGGGCATGGATTAGGCGAATAGCCAAGGTCTTTAGTCCATGTTTGGATCAAGGCTGTGATGAGGTCAGGAGCGGAGTTGCCCTGGCAGAACCCAAACTGGGTATCACTAAGCAAACAGGTTGCACTCAACAAAAAAAAAGATTATTCCTAGTCTCTGGCATTTTTTTAATGAAACGGCAGCACCTGCTATTACGTTGAAGCGTCACATACTTCACATGTAAGTTAACTGCTCAGCTCTGGATTAATATTGATAGTTAGTGTTGAAGGATGAACTGGCTATCCCTGTAAAAATGTTTGTTTGTGATTGGCATGTAGTGAACACACAGACCTGAAATGTTGACAGTCAGAAGAGTGAGCTGGAGTATTACAACTGTAACAGCTGCTCCTGTGAAGGAGGACTGTCCAACATTGTGATTTGAAGTTGGATCAGTAGCGTCACTGCATACAGCTGACTGGGTAATCAGCTCACATCTTAGAATTAAACTGCCAAGGGATAGCTGCAAGTGGCTCCTGTTCAGTCCTGCTTCTTCCATGAACAGTCGCTTTCTGCTCCTGCGGGAGCAGTCGCTTTCTGCTCCTGCGGGAGCAGGCCATTCAGTCTGTCATGCCTGTACCAGCCCTTTGAAAGATCTGTTAAATCAGCCCACTCGCTCTCTTTCCTTTTTTTTTGTTTAAAATGTATTCTTACTTTGTGTCACTATTGAATCTGCTTTCACCAGCCTTTTTGATCGCAAGCTTCTAGTTCATCACTGGTTGATGTGCAAAAAA